ACATCGTGGGGGAGGGGAAAGTTCTTGCAGTCCTTCTCAAAGAGTTTCCAGTAAGTGAAAACATGATACAAAGTATTCAACTTGCTACAATAGGGGAAACAGTAATTTCAGAATTTGGCTTTGTAGTTTCTTTTGGCAAGTAAATGCCCAACAAAAAAAATGCAGTATTTTTTTCACTAATGGACTCCAAACACAATATAAGGCGACCAAATCAACAAACTAATACAGGATTTGCTCTGTACCAGATGTCCAGGTCTTTACGATGGCTGTACCATCAGCATGCTATATTGTGCCAGCCACATATATAATTAGAAGGGACAATGCTCCCTCTAAGCTGTGGAGTCATGTGAGCAAAAATTCTACTTTGTGAGCTACTGGCATTAAAGTTGTGAGCGAGTGATTTGGCTTAGTTTGCTCTGGAGCCATCGTTCCTGACTTATGACAAAAATGTGTAAGCCGGAGGCTAAAAAACTGAGCTAGCTCACACTAACTCAGCATAAAGGGAACACTGGAAGGGACTCAGAGTAAGGGAGAGTTCCCATTATTACATTTTTTTTTGTTCCCTCAACCTTTTAATACCACAACAGAATTCACAAAGGCTAAAACATATTTACCATATTTACCACCACCAAAATGGCTACAATTTATGGCAACTCAGCAAACCTGGCAGGAAATACACAATTTAATACCCAATTTCTGCCAGAAGCTCGATGATAAGGCCCAAACAGAAACAGGATGATTTAATGTGCTGATTTTTATAATGCTGCAGATTAAAACATTTTTAAATAATCTGATGTTTTCTGAAAATTGGGCAAAAATTGTATTTACCACAACAACCCAGGCAGCTTAAGCTCTCATACATGCTCTTTCAGGAATTTAGCCTCACTGACAGAGTTGAAAAAGACTTGTTAATCCTAGGAAAGTGTTTTCTCTCTGTCTCTTGCATTCCTTGGATCCTTACATTTTCAAATGAAGGAATGATAAATCCTATTTAGGAGATTTAAAAATGAAGACTTTTCAGTCTGCTTTTCCACTTCATAGCTCCATCAAGACACCTTAAAGAGAAAACATTCCAGGAACATAGCCAAAACAGTGTCAAGAATATTTGCATCGAGATTTTGTATTGTACTCATACCATTCTCTACAAGCTTTGTCTATATTGATGGCATGTACTTTACATACAGATGTTGTGTAATACAAGAAATTTGCATTATAAACATTATAAAAAGTACAACCAAGTGTGTTAAAGTAACATTAAGGCTGGACTACTATTACATATCGTGTGGGACGGCCCTTGAAGACAACTCAAATTTCAGTTGGCCCAAAACAGCTTTATGACTATTATACCCCACCTTGAGATATTTACACTGGCGACCAGGGCCGGTGCCAGGTTTTTTGCAAAGTAGGTGCACCCCCCTCCATGCGCCCACCATGTGCCAATTTTCTGGCACCCCCCTCCATGCGCCCACCAATTTTCAAACATAAATGCATTTTAAGAAGAATGAAAAACACAAAATTTGGAAATTGCTATTTTCTTTTTTTCTAATTATAAGAACAAGTAATACAATCTTTGATTTTCTCTCTCAAACAGAAAAACACAAATCACAAAGCATTTTGAAAAATCCTGTTAATTGTGATATTGAAATTTAAGTCTCTTTAATGTTTCCATTCCAGCACATCAGAATATCATTTTGCGACTTCCAGTGGATGGCGGCACGCTGA